GTGAAAGGAAAAAGGAATAAAATTGTGAGCGTTTTTAGAAGAAGACGACGAAAACGTTAAAAGGGTTATTGTTGTTGTCAACAATAACGAAGTTTAACATGAGGAGAAGCTCGAGAGAATCCCATGATAAGAGACTTAATGGCTCGACGTTTAAGGGAATCTCTATGGTTGGTTTTGTTAGTGAATATGGAGAGTTCTTGCAATGAAGTCCCATACTTGAGCAAGAAGTGAGTGAGGCTAACTTCATTGAAGCACTCCATGAACCCTTCCATTCTTACAATCTTAAGATGAAGACGAAAGGATTCGAGTGGCTCGATTTGGGTTTCCCAGAAATGTTCTTCCTCCGAAACAATCTTTTCCCACTTTTCCTTACGCCAATCCTAAACAATAAAAAATCAAAACAAACCAGAATGTTATTTAGGTTAGAAATCACGGATCTCCACCACAATTGAGCATACGCTTTCGGAGCTTTGTAACTCACGATCATTCCCTAAATTAGTCAATATAATTACCTTCCTTCCATTACTAGGAGCGTCAACAATCTTGATCGTGAGCGTATGAAGAACGGGACAACTTCTGAATATATTCGCTACCACTGAACAATTGTGCTTTTTGGATACTGTTTTCAGCTCCAAACATCTTACGTTGTTGAATGCCGGCAAATAGCATGCAAAGTAATTATTGCTGGATAGAACCTGCCTTATAATATTTATTTTAAAAATAAATAAAAACAATAAAATTAGTTCAATTATCTCATTTAAATCTCAAAGATATATACCGTAGCATATTACCATTAATTTAATTTTTACCAAGATTGAAAAGTTAAAAAAGTTAAAAAGGTGTTCTTGACAAAAATATTGTTTTTTATCTTATAATTTGACTTTTGAAAATAGAAAAGCTATAAATATGTTACTAATATTTAAATTAAAATTCTTGTGCAACTGAGAATACTCCAAAACAAATTTAAAATTCATTAAAAAAAAAAAAAAAACCAAATAAATATAAGAAATTTAATTTTAATATTGATAAAATAGGGGAAAAAAATTGAAACTTACATCAAGGAAGGAAGGTTCGAAGGTTAAAGAGTGGGCGGGAGAGATGGCGGAGAGAAGAGCAGAGACACTGTGGAGCTTGGTATTGGAAAAATGTTGACAAAGCAAACCAAGAGAGGCTTGATTCAGAGACTTTAAATCCCCCAAATTGACTTCATCCGTTACAGCATTATAGATCCAAACCAGGGTTTTCAAATTGGGCGCCACGATCTTCACCCAGCTCGAACCATGCGCGTCAAAGCAGCTACAAATCCGCACCCTCTCCAATTTCCCTCCCAAAACGTCCAGCCCCTGCAGCTGGAAGCACCCCTCCAGGCTGAAATCCTGCAGCACCGGGCACTGAACCCGTAGATTCATTAGCCCGGAGCAGCTCTCTAGATTCAATTTCTTCAAAAGGGGGAAAGAGGAGTCGGTGAATAGGTCCACCAAGGAGGGACGGTCTAGAATCATGAGAGCCAGAGAGAGGGAACTCAGCAGTCGGAAGCCAGAGCTCATGATGGACGACGGCGGTAATCGGAACCCGGGGTAGATGGAGCGGAGGCTGAAGACCCTCAAGGAATCACTGGCGATTATGCCACGTGGGAAATTGAAGTAATCGTTGGTGGAGACTTGGATGTGGAGGTGTTGGATTTTGTGGCGGACGGCGATTCGGAACAGAGCGTTGAGGCGGGAGAAACTCAGAGTGGCGGAGAAGCGGAGGAGACGGACGTTGGAGTGTTTGTGGTCGCGGGCGTTGAGGATTCCGGCGATGATGTCGGCTGGGTTTGAATTGGAATTGGAATTGGAATTGGAATTGAAGATGGAATTGGAGAAGTCGAGGTCCGGTAAGGTGAACCAGAGAGAGCGCCAGCGGGAGGAGAGAGTGGCGGATTGGGCGACGGTTTTGATGGGCAATAAGGTGAGAATGTGGTGGAGGACGGCGTCGGGGAGGTGGCTGATGTAGTCGACGCCGGTTTGGTGGTGGGAATTGGAGAGCCGTCGTCTACGGGCGGATCTGGTCTCCATTATCGGAAAGAGAGAGAAAGAAAGAGAGAGATTTGTTGTTAAGAGAGGGAGAGAGTGAGATTTGTAGGGTTTGAACTTTTCAAAGGCTTTGTGAATCTCAGTGAAATAAGGACGGCGTTTCAGTTTGTTATGTCCCTTCCCTCTTCATTAATCCTTATTTTCTTTTTTCAAAAAAATTCAAATAACTATTAACAAAATATATGATTAATGTGAATCTAATATTTATTTAAATTTTCAAATTCTTTATTTATTAATTTAAATAATACTTATAAATCTTTCCAACAATATCTCTACACTAGAGAAACCAAGATTTTTTTATATATATATATATATTAAAAAAAAAAGAGATAATCAACAAAATAATTATTTGCATAATATAAAAAATATTAATAAACTTTGTATTTTCTTTCAAAAATACAATAATATCCTTAGGGTCATTTTAGATAAAAAAAAAAAAAATAGTTAATATTTTATTTCAAAAATACATTATTAACAAGAGATGATATCATAGAATTTCAATTCTATTATGTTGACCCTTTGGAATCGGAGTAATGATTACAGGAACGGTCGGAGCATTCGCATTTTATAGTCAGAACTGAAATTCTTGGATTTATGAAAAACGAACAACTATGAAAGTATCTACTTGGAATGTTTTCATTAATGAAGAATAAAAGTTGGGGGCTCAAAGACGATTAGATACCGTCCTAGTCTCAACCATTTTTACTATTTAACTTTTTATTAGGTTATATTTGTAAGCATTGAGTAGCATGGGAAGGCCTACATTGTTTATAATCGACTTAAATGAATCAAAGATATTAATGATTTGGGCCAAGTTAGGATAATAACATATTAACATCTTGAGGGTGTAGTCAAAAGCACATGATACTATGGTCCTACATTAATCTAACAAAATTCCTCTCATTTTTCGATTTTTCAATTAATAATTTGTATTTTTTTCTTTTAATTTGAATTGAATTTAAGTATGACTTAAAAGGTATCCAAAGTTTTTAATGCAAAGTTTTGATTATGCAATGGATATGTTCTCAAGTTTTATTTCTGTTACGTTCTAATCACGTCTCATTAATCTCATATGAAAATATATGCATGTATATTTATATATAATAAAAGGGTTAGTTATAAGTTGGATTGTGTTTCACTTTGTTTGTGGGTAAGATTTATTGGAAATGCATAACTAAAATTGAAAAGACATTTTTCTAAGAAGCGAGCAAGTGAGAAAAAGAACTCGTGTTAGTTAGTAAAGATAGTCTTCACTCGTAGAAGTAATTGAAGATAAATAGGTAGCTTAAACATGTTATAGGAGGTGCATTCCAATGTCAGGTGTCCAATTCATAATTCAAATTCTAATATGAATTTTGGACATGAGAGAGTACAAATGGTATCAAAACATGACTTCTCCTTGTGGGATGAAGACGAATCAAGGCAAAAGCTAATAGACATATGATGCTCGAGTAACTATATGGTACATGAATGGGCCTATACCTGTGAGATCCTCGTCAGTTGGAGAGGGGAACGAAACATTTCTTATAAAGGTGTGGAGACCTCTCCCTAATAGATGCATTTTAAAACCGTAAGAATGGTAATGATACGTAACGAGTCAAAATGAACAATATCTAGTATTGGTAAGTTTGAGCTGTTACAAATGGTATCAAAGCTAAACATCGGACGGTGGGCCTCCAAAGGAGAGTGGATTATGAAATCACACTTCGGTTGAAAAAAAAAAAAAGGAAATAAACATTCCTTTTTAACTAAGGGAAGGGTCTAGCAGACCTAACACCAAAAACACAGTCTACGCCACATTGACCAGAGGTAGGAGAAAAAAGAGCAGAAAAAAGAAGAAAAGGCTAATTATTTGACATGGTCTGGTTTTCTAGTAACCCTTATGTAGCAAAACACAACAGCAAAAACAGCAGTAGCCAGGCCGCCGAGCAGCACCCCGCCGCCGGCCATGGACGTATGAAGATGATGCTTTCCCAGCCTTCTGATTTCAGGACCTGCAGCCACGCCCTGCTGATTCTCCATCTCCACTTCCTTTCCAATTTCAGCCCCAAAAAACGGCATCGCAGTGGCAACTGTTGGTGCTTCGGCGGTGCTCGCAGCCGTGAGCTGACTCAACCACATCCCAACGAGAACCAGACACAGCAAACCTTGTCGAACCACAGCCATATTTGTTGAGCTTGTGGAGGTTTATATGAAAAGGAAACAGCCAAGGGGTTATATAGAGAGAGAATTTGATGGCTAACCCTGAATTTTATTATTATTATTTATAAATAGGAATGAAAATGTTCGTTTTTTATTTACTAGCTTACATTATCAACTTTCTCTTAATTAAAGTTTAGCTTGTTTTATAGTAAAAATTATGATAAATAATTTCTTTTTAGCGCGTATTATAATAAATTCTCAAGAGTCAAAAGGTAGTTGCCAACTATAAATAGTCAGACATTTATGTAACCTTCAAGCATGGTACAGAAATAGCTCAAACTGAGACCAAGTCAAACCTTCCTTGAATATTAACCAAGACTCTAATAGTTATCGAACGGGGTCTAATTATCGAATCCTTAGCCGACTTGAAATGGTGCCCAAGGTTGCGGTTGAACCAGGCCGATCATTGTATTAACTACGAACCCCACGCTTGTCTGGCTTCTTGGATGCAATGCATATCAGCCAACGGTTTCCATGATCCGAGATATCGTTCGTAGATGAATTTCTTACACTAATTCTGCAGACCCACACCTCCTACAGCCCTAAACCAAAAGCATCACTTTCCGATCCAGCAAACATCTAATATGGTGGCACCAGGTATCACAGAGCTCAATCTACCCTCAGATAAAACCAAATGGTTCAATTAGAAAAGTCTAGATTTCAAACTTTCTACTTGTACTTGCACACAGATGGGCAATTCATAAGCTCTACCATGATGGTTAAAGGTCAAAGCTGGTGTGTGATCCACGTCAGTTGGAGAGAGAAACAAAACATTTCTTGTAAGGGGTAGAAACCTCTCCCTTGAAGACGCATTTTAAAACCGTGAGGCTGACAGCGATACGTAATGGGCCAAAGCGGACAATATCATTAGCGGTTGGTTTGAGCTATTACAGCTAGCTCGACATCCTCAACCGCAAAATCCTCAGAGTGATGAACTCGGACTAAATGAAGTTGACCCCAAGGAACAGATTGAGGACCTTTTGATTTCAGGAGAATCCTTTGTTGATGATTCTTTTTGTGTTTGAGATATTGGGAAAATTGAGGCGAGTTAGAGTTCCATATATGGCCCTTGCTGCTTCATCGTAAGCAAGAGCGGCATCAATGACAGATGGGAATGTACCTAAACAGAGTCAACTTCCCCTATTCGGTGCTCGAATTTCGGCAACCCACTTCCCCCATGTCATTTGCCTAACTCCTCTGTAATTACATCTCAAATTCTCTGGCCCTCCCTTACCTTTCATGCAGCCTTTCGTGGATCCCTTGGCTGGAACTCTACAGGGGAGTTTAGCCTCATCATTACATGTATCAAGGTGATCGTTGTAATCTTTCCATCTTGCAAGAGTCTCCGCCATGAATATGGATCCAGGTCGTCTAGTTTGTAATTTTTCTAATTTAGGCATCCAAGAAATGTTTGTATTGCACTTAACAAATCAGAAAGGCCACAAATAACCTGTCATCATTAAAAGAGGATTTCAATTTCCAAACTACAAACAATCAGATGCACAAAGTAAAATCTGTAAACAGAGAATTCTTTAAACCATAGATGCGTGGAACAGCCCACGCCCACCACTAGTAAATATTGTCTGCCTTGGCCCGTCATGTATCCCCGCCAGTCTCATGGTTTTAAAACGCGTTTGCTAGGGAGAGGTTTCCACACCCTTATAAGAAATGTTTCACTCCCCTCTCCAACCAATGTAGGATCTCACAATCCACATCCATTGAGACCCAACGTCCTCGTTGACACACTGGTCGGTGTCTAGCTCTGGTACCATTTGTAACAACCCAAGCCCACTGCTAGCAGATATTATCCGCTTTTGTCTATTACGTATCATCGTCAGCCTCACAGTTTTAAAACGCGTCTACTAGAGAGAGATTTTCACACCCTTATAAAGAATGTTTCGTTCATCTCTCCCACCAATATGGGATCTCACCGTGCGTCATAACTAGAGTAATGCACTACATAGCACTAGTGTGTATGTGATACAAGCACTAGTGTGTATGTGATACAAGTGAACTAGAACATGGTATGAAAAAGCTCTCATGAAGTTTCATTGTTTGTTCCATCATCAAAAGAATATGTGTTTCTACGATCGCCCAAGAACACGCACTCATTCTTAGGCTAAGGTACGATTATAAGCTCAAAATATTCAAGTGTCATTTATAAAATAACTCAAATTTCAAATAATTCACTTAAACTACTCATTCTATGATGTTCCAACGAATTTTAACCATTCAGTGCCCAATTTGAAGAAAGGGCGTGGCTGCCACCCAAATTCTCATTGAAAATATATCACATATCATCAAGTGGTGATTCCTAAGTTCAATTCTGTATACTGCAACTTCAGCTCTTTACACTATAATTTGTTCTCAAGGTATGTCTACGTAGAAGAAAAACAAAAACAACGTGCTTTGAGTCTATGGCATAAAACAAGCTGATCGCAGTCCCAGCTATAATTTCTCAAAGCCAAGCCCTCCCAAGCAAGTGGAAATTGGCGTTGACGCCCAGGATATACGACATGTTTATCAAGTCAATCAAGTTAACAAACTAATTAAAGAAAACACACACTATCCAATCAGGTTCTTCTTCATCTAAATAAGTTGAATCCGTACATTTGACTTGTAAGGAAATGCAAAAATAGCGCCGAACTGCCGGGAAGCGAAGATTCTAATCTTAGCTTCCCGACACAAAAATGCATACATCCCAAACTCTACCAGTCGCTTCATTTCGCACAACAAAAGTCAACAGGAAAAGCTCACTTTTCATTACACAATCATAAACAAATATCATCCCCTGTTTTCATGCTAGACGGAATTTGAATTCCTCTATTTTCTCTGTCTCTTATCTTATCTAGAAAAGCGCGAAAAAAATACCTCCATTTCTTCGGGGAAGAGAAGTCTCTAAATTCGCGACGTCGAACAAAGAACGGACATTCCGATTCTAGAGAGCCATGGACCAAGACGATCGCGTTGACGACAACAAAGCGGACGAACGGGTAAGAACCCTAAGGCCCCAAATCACCACACCTCGATTTTAGTTAAACAAATTGTATTCTCACATTTATTCTATGGGCCGAATAACCCAAGGCCCAATTTTTCAATAATTTTTTTTATTCTCTTAGAATTTATTGTCATAATTATTAATGCTTAAACCCAAGAAATGATTATTGATTATTAAATCTTTTATTTTGTTGTTTATAAAGTTTAAAAGGTTTGAACTGTTTATAATTAGTAATTAACGATGATTGAGTTTTTAATAATGTTGCTATCAATCATGATCATAATTAGACACTAATTTCAAAATCCCATTATCATAATTAGAACAAGCGAATCAATTTAATTAATCAGATTAGATCATGGATTTTGGCCATCATGAAATTTCGAAAACAAAAACATGGAGCCCATGTTTCTTTCTTCTTCTTCTTCTTTGTACAGTGAACAACAATCCATTTCCATGGCGAAAATGCAGTAGCTCAATCCTCATCAGTAATGGCGGTGGGTGTGATGGACGCACTCAGCAGGGGTAACAGGGAACCGAGCGGAATCCGTGCAATAGTCATAAACCATATGCTTAGCCCGAACCCAAACCAGCTGATGACTTTGGTGCAAATTCAGCTCTGATATGGTTGGCTCATCCCACCAATACTTCTTCTCCCCCTCGCTACTGCATTTCCGGGCAACATCACCCGCCGCCGGGGCCTCGCAGCCGTCTATCTCGAAGCCTTTGTACGACGTTACGAATGGCGAATGTGCCCAATTTGTCTTCACCCGACCCCCCTGTGTCGCCCAGTCATCGGCGTTCCATATTGAGCTGTACACGCCCATCGCTTGGTCCTTTGGGAAGGGTATGCCTCTGTGCTCCAAATTAGAATGTACTCTTATTGGGGTTTCATCGACAAGGAACCTGAACAATAAAAACAGAGCAAATGAAAAATTACAAAAACAGAGTCGCCCTGCTCTAACAAGAACAGAGTCGTTCATGGTCATTCATTGCTTACATGACATGGCGCCGAGTCCAGAGGATGGAATAGGAGTGGAACTCTTTGGTTGGGTCAAACCAGAGGTTTAATCTCTGCTCTCTGTTGCCAACGCCATTAACGTACACGTTGGTTTGAACAGAGTACGGCTCCCCTGTTGTATTCCCCAGAAACTCGAAGTCGAATTCATTGTGATTCGGGCCGTCTGATGACATCTGTATCATCAAAAACAATATGATCATCACAGCGCTAGAAAAATGATCGATAAGAAACGACGATCACAATCAATAAACCAAACTTACATAAAATGCGGTGACAGTTCCAGCAGAGTCACCCTCTATGAGTTTCATTTGGATTGTGACCTTCCCGAACATGTACTTGTTCTTCGATGAAAACCCAGCACCTGAACAATTCAACACACGAATTTCTTAGTACAAACCATTCGAAAACGAAGAGCAGGAGTAGATTTTCTGGGTATTTTTCTCGGTACCAGAAGAGTTGTCGAGTCTAAGCTTAAGAAGCTCTCCTTCATAGATGAAATGATCGAAAGCCCAGCTTGGCTGATAGAGCTCGTGAAAATCCTTCGATTCAACGGAACCCACCAGACAAAAACCAAGAAAGAAGACAAGAAAACAAGGAAAAGACATAGAAGCAGCCATGGAAGAAGATAAGCTGGATAGTGAAGGTGAAGCTTCTACTCTGCAAACTCGGTAGCGATCTTTACAGAACCTTACCCTATTTATAGCCATTTTCTTTTAGCTTCTTACACAAGCCCCAAATTCTCCCACTACCAACTAAAAGACAAAATCGAACACTCCACGTAGCTAAAATATCATGCCACGTTGGATTTAAATTTCCAAGGTGTATTTATTTTTTTAAAAGGAATATAGCCGTTACTATTGGCCTGAACAGCTGGAAGAAGCTTTGGTGAGTGGGAGTGGCGCTTGGTACTGGCTGTCCCCGGTTCTGAAATGTGGGGTCCAATTTAAACCAATGGGATATCGCTACGTGGCTTTATACAGCTGTTTTCTTTATCCATCCAGTTGTCACTGCCACTGGGAATAGCAGTCATAAAGCTATTGGTTCCCTTCCCTTAGCTAAGGCACTTGATTCTTCCTCCACAAAGTCTCATTTTAAAGCCCCACGCGCGACTATATAAATAAACCCACTCCCCCTCTGTGGTCTATAAACCGTAAAATTTTTAATTACTTTTTTTGTAGAGATTAATTTTTAAATAGTTATTTTAAAATTTTTATTTTTAAATATAATTTTGTTGAAAAAAATCATACTAAATCAATATATTAAAAAAAAATACTAAAATAAATTTTAAAAATTTAAATTTTAATATAAGAATGTAATTTTTAACCCTGGTTTAAAAATTATAATTAGAATCTCAATATATTTATATTAAATGGAGAATGGACAGAGACAGAGACTACGGAATATAATCACGTCCTCAGTTCCATTTATCTAATTGAAAAACAAATGTTTTCTACTCTATTTCGATTCGAAATCCGCTCCCCATGCTGGGTAGATCTCATGGGAACCCGAGTAGATAACAAGGAACCCTAAGAGAGCTGCCGACCCAACTGCCATACATGTACGATCCATACTAGATCTGACTAACTATCCATCCTACCTCCTCTACGTTCTTGATAATCCATCTTTGTCTCAGTAGAGTCTTTCAGTGGCATATTTGAGTTTTCTTCCTCATTACTTAGAAAAAGTGAGTCACGGATTCAGGTACAAGATATTATCATTATCACCTAAACAATTAGACATCCAAACTGTAACGGCAACGATTTAATTGCAAGAGCAAAGCTCTACCAATAGAACTGAAATTCCCTTCCCATGGTGCATAGATCTCGTGGGACCCCAAGATAAAATGAATATTTCAAACCATATCTCGTCTAAACGCCACATAAGGGCGCGTAGTTTATAAGACAAGAAAATCAGGAGGAGGTGGGACCGGGGTTATATTCTTTTGATTTTACAGTTTTGCATCTTTGTTTTTTGTTTTACTTTGCTGACTATGGAGCCAGCTGGCAGTCGGTCCCCACCATAAAAATTCCATAATGATATTTAAATCAATTTGATTTTGAGATAAAAATCTATTCTATTTTAAACCCAATAATAAAAGTCAAAATTCTTACTACTTTCTTATAACTTTCAATAAATAATAAAAAATGGTCAATTCTGGTATAATTTAATTTTGTATTTTATTTTCGAACAATCTACGAATGTCAATGCTAATTAGGATTATTATTTTTAATTGAAATTAAAAGTGATTTATTTTTACGGCCGGTTAAAATGAAATATTTTAAATTACTAAAAAAAAAAAAAGTATAAAAGTAAAGTGAGGATAAAATTGATGAGGCAGTCACGGAAACCTAGAAAGTTAAAGATTACTCGCCAGTTTCCGAAAGTTTCTAACAGTCCAATAAGAAGTAGCCACGTGGGTAAGATATGGGTAAATTAAAAATTTTATTTGAGAAATAATACGGCGTGCCTTTCTTTTAATTGCACAGGCTGTCGTGGATTGTGATGGGTATTCCTCAGATCCCAAGGCTTCCATAACTTGCAAACAAATTATTCATATTGAAAAACCATTATGCTCGATCATTATAACTTTTTTTTCTTTTTCAAAAATAATAATTATAACTTCTTTTTTTTTCTTTTTCGAAAATAATAATTATAACTAATTTTTGACGTGGCAAAGATGGGGATGGGGATACAAACGCTTGGATCAGAGCCCGTTGATGATATTAATGAGTCGGCCCAGCCCACAATGTTGCATTTTTATCTTGAGTCGGCCCAGCTAACAATAGTCCCACTGGTACACGGCCTAACGTTTGGCTTTGATACCATTTTTAATGCACAAGCTCGCTACTGGCAAATATTGTCCTCATTAGGGTTTTCCCTCCAAGTTTTAAAACACGTCTTCTAAAAAAAAGAGATTTCGACACTCTTATAAGGAATGTTTCATTGCTATCTATTCGAGTTAATGATTCGGCTGAAATTCCATTATCTCGAATTGCGAGTGTTAACATTGAAAAGGACTGCACATTTAGAGGGTTAAAAGATTCAAATCACAACCAAAAAAGATGGGAAAATCAGAAAAAACAGCGTTCTTCTTTTTCTTTTCCAATCTTCTATCACTGTACACAGCCCAATATTTGAATCTACAATGGAAAAAACAGCACCTAATCATCATCAACAGTATTCAAATTAACAAACCAAACTATGAACAAAGCCACGGCAAAGATTTCAGCTCACTATGACGACTACTTGTCACTCTAGATTTCATCACTTTTCCCATTTGAATTTCAAGTTTTGTACAAACTCGCTCCAATTCCATCACCCTCCATTGAATTCCTTCTATATGCGCTTTCAACTTCTCATCGTCGTCAGGAAAATCGAGCTTTTCGGCATAGAGAACAACTCGGTCGCCTGTTTCAGCTCTATCAGTACTCTTGTCTCCACATTCGTCGAGTTCATGACACGAATGAGTGATGGATTTAGAGTTTTTAGCAGTTTGAAGTAAGGTTTTGAGCTTGACTTGCTCTGAAACAAGGGCTTGTAAGGAAGACATGGATGGAAATCTTGTGTTTTTTGAAAGATTTAAGAATGTTTCCACTGACAGCTTCTCATAGTTCAATGCACAACAAATTTTCACCTTTTCTTCTTCTGTCATTTCCGTATGAACCTATATAACATGATTCAAAGCCTAACTAAACTCCAACGTTGTATTGTATTATCTATCCAAAGATTAAACATTCAAATCAACAAGACAGAGCTATATTGGTTCAAGTCATTACCTCTATGTACATATCCACGGCACGGTACATATCGTCGTGGGAGCTTCGAGCATACTCCGGAAGCGCTTTGGCAAGAGCTAGAAACTTTGAGGGCTTTAAACAAGGATCAGGAGCTACTTCTGCCATGTACAAATCCATTAATCTAGCTACTCTTCTTAATGCCATTGAACACGTTCTACTGGTTTTTTCATGCAAAAAGGCTTTCACAAATCTTAGAACAAGGT